TTAGGCATTTTTAAACCATCTCTTCGCAAAAATAAAAAAAACCCCCTATGTGGGAACAAAGAAATTCACGAATCCTATCTTTTGGACTATTTTAGTCCATGCGGCATTTTTCATTAAAAAGTGCAGTTAAAAGCTTTTTATTATTATTTTAATTTCTTGTTGAACATAAGATATACGCAAAAAAAAGCTAAAGTTTTATACTATGTTACCAAAATATTTCCAGGGATTCCTCTTTTCTGATTTCCCTTATTTTAGTTTATTCAAGATTTCCCTCATCAAAATACAAATCGTTTTTGTGATGTGTGGAACCATTGGGAAGTCATTGGGAAAACGTAGCTATACCATAGATGAGCAACTAGTAGTAACTAGTAGTAGATGACAATGCTCTGGCAAACGATACACGACAATTAAATATGGTTTATGGTTTGGTTGTCTGTCGAAATTGTGGAACGCTAGAGAAAAATCAAGGAGAGCGGGCGGTGCAGACGGAAGACTTGAACGAACAAAGATAATTTCTTAAAATATCACGGTCACATAACTTTTTTGAAGTACAAAAAAGCTTCTGGAGCGAAAATTAATATATGTGGGAACAGTTCAAAAACATTTTAATTAAACATTTATCCCGCCGAAGTTACTAATAACAAAAAAAACTCTTTGATACCTGGGCATTACGCTTGACGCCAAACTGCACTGGAAAGCGCATGTTAAGAAAAATCAAAAAGAGCTTGACCTAAAATTAAACAAAGTTTACCACCTCATCGGCAGGCGCTCTAAACTGGCAATCCATAACATACTAATGGTCTATAAACAAATACTGAAGCCGACTTGGAGTTATGGCATACAATTCCTGGGGTTGTGTCAGCAAGAAACACATTGCAACTATCCAGCGCTATCAAAATAAAATACTACGTTACATCGTAACAAAATGCACCATATTACATTAGAAACAGTGATCTCCACCGTGACCTTGGCATGCCAACAGTCGACGTCGTGGCTAAAAGGTGTGCCATTGATCACAAACAGCGTTTGAAAACACATGTTAACACTACAGCATCCGGTCTTCTCCAGGTGGTTGCACTACCTCGACGGCTAAAAAGGAAAACAGTGGCAGACTCAATGGACAGCGAGTAGCAAAATGGCTTCGTTTTGCCTTAAATATTCAAATCAAATTGCTTATTAGTACCTCTTATTTTTTATTTGTACTAGGTGTAATATTAAAACGATTTTTGTCTTTATTTTAAGAATCGTCAATAAAATCAAAAAAAAATTGTGCTGTTTTTGAAAGTAATGCTCTTACCAAAAAATCACGTATCTAACGTTTTTGGGAGTGAGAAAAATATAGAATAACAAATATTGTCTTTTGAGCTATTATGGTTCTTATATATATTTTAGGAAGTTTATACCATTTTTTTTATTAATTTGTGTATTTTACGACATATAGGACATACAAACAGTTTTTGCCATTTCTTGCAGATAAAGTTGCCGTTGACAACACATTTGTTCTTTTGACTTGCAACAACTGCATGTCTATCGCTTTCTGCGAACGGCGAAGATGGTGCTCCAATACTAGTTAGCAAAGTTGTAGAGAACTTTAGTAAGGACAGTTTAGACCTGTTCGTCATCTGATCCTCTGGCAAAGAATTAGCCAATACCCGCAAAAATGGTGGCCGCTGACGACTAGCATCTCTTCATGCCCATGATGGAACAATTTCAGAAAAAATTATGTACTCATTCAATGTGGATACGTCTATCACATTCGCAAAAACAGCACTAGGCTAATGATTTGATTTCTGTACTGTAGTACCTGATCATCTGATGCACCGTATGAACACCTTCTAAGAGATGAAATGAAACAAAAGATTATGAACTAACATAGTATTACAATTAATCTCAAAAATTACAAGCTTTTGTTGAGTTGTAATATGTTATAATCTCCGGTTTGTTTTAGGATCCATCATAGTGGATCATAGATACATCCTTTGGCTGTGTTGTGTGTTATACTTATTAAAATTGTACTTTTATTTTTATGGCCAATATATGAAACCAATGTTGAATAATTATTGAAAACAAAGGACAAATATCACAAAGAGAGATATAGATATATAGATATAGATATAGATATAGATATAGATATAGATATAGATATAGATATAGATATAGATATAGATATAGAT